GCTCGCGCAGCACTTCCTTGCGCCGCCGCGACGCCTCCCGCTCCTCCTCCTCCCGCCGCATCGCCGCCGCCGCCGCCGCCCGCTCGTCCGCCGCGACGTTCGCCGCGAGAGCCGCCGCTCGCCGCGCCTAGAGACGGCTCCGAAGCGGCTCCGAAGCGGCTCCGACACGGGGCTCGCCGGAGCTCGCCGCCGCTCGGAAGTGCCTCGTCCGCCGCCACGACGTCGGAGACCGCGGCGCGCCACGCCTGCAGCTCCGCCTGCGGCGAGACGCAGCCGAGGTCGAGGGCGCGGGGCTCGGCCGAGGGCAGGGGGGGAGCCATCGGGCGGAGCCGCGCCTCGCGAGCCCCAGCCCACCACTCGGAAGCGAGGCCGCGCTCCCCGCCGCCCCCAGTGTGCTCGGCGAGTGCTGTCGGCTGCTCGGCGTCGCTGTCGCTGTCGCCCTCCTCGCCCTCCTCGCCCTCCTCCCACAGCTCGGCGAGGGGCGAGCGGCTCAGCGCCGCCGGGTCGCGCCCCTCCCTCTCCTCGTGCGCCTCCATCTCGCTGATGAGCTTCTCGGCCGCCTGCCAGGGAGGAGGAGGGAAGAGGCTCGGGGAGAGGGGGACCCACTCTGCGGCCGCGCGTCGCAATCGCCTCGGACAGCGCGGCTCGCGGCTTGTAGACGGCGGCGGCGCGCAGCCACATCTCCGCTTCCACGAGCGGGAAGAGGTGGAACGGGTCCGCGTCCTGGGGGGGTAGGCTCCGAGAAGGCTCAGAGGCGGCTCGGCATGGCGGGGGAGGGGGGTGGGGAGAGGGGCGGGGAGAGGGCTGGGGGAGAGGGGTGGGGCAGAGGGCTGGAGGAGAGGGGGTGGGGCAGAGGGGGTGGGGGAGAGTGGGTGGGGGAGAGGGCGTGGGGGAGAGGGGGTGAGGGAGAGGGGTGGGGGAGAGGGGTGGGGGAGAGGGGTGGGGGAGAGGGGGTGGGGGAGAGGGGGTGGGGGAGAGGGGGTGGAGCGAGAAGGCGTGGCGGAGAGGCGGTGGGGGAGAGGGGGTGGCGCAGACGGGGGGGGGGCAGAAGGGTGGACGCGGTCCTCCGGTGACCGGCTTGAGGTCCGGAAGCCTTTGAGC